GGGTGGGGATATAATTTTCTTCTGAGTTTCTTCATTCCCCCCCCTGGGCCTTCACCCCTTGCGCTGAGTCCCGGCACCACCCAATGACTCTCTTCTCTTCTTTCTTTTTTCTCTTGTGGCAGGAAAAGGGAAGGAGAGAAGACGGTTCCACCCTGCCCTGTGCCCAGGGCCCTGCCTCCCTGGAGGACTTCATCCACCTCTCCTCGGAGTTCTCCTAGCCGGGAGCCGCAGGGCTCCTGCTTTGCGGCTGGGCCTGCGCCGATGCAGCCTGCAGGCAGGGACCTCTTTGGAGAAGGGTTGCCGCAGCGGCTGCCGTGAGGAGCCCAGTGCGAACTGAACCGCCGGCGCCCGGCTGGCTCCCTGGTCCCGTGTTTTGCTTCTGGAAATCACCCGTTCAACGTTTCTGTTGCCTGCTGAGCCTGGGGGACTCTGCGGATCAGCCGAGCCGGGGTGGGGAGGGCAGTTCTGCGGGGCGCTGCAGAAGAGGTAGCAGAGGGGCCCGGGGTTTCTCTGTGGTGTCACAAGTGGCGTGTGTGGCGGCCGCAGTGACCTCTGGACAGTGACACTCCTCGTGGCGCAGGGGCCTTGCTGCAACATCCCCCCCCCCCCTTCGCATCCCAGCCCCGGTTCGGGCCTGGGCATTATCTTTTGCGGCCTTTGCCTCTTCTGGCTCAGTTCCGCAGACCAAAGCCCTCTTGGGAAAGGGGGCCGCCTCTTGCACATTCAAGGGTCTGGTCTGGCTCTTGGGCAGAAGGACTTCTTCCCTGGGAGCCAGACCTTGCAGGCCTGAGCATAGCTCTTTGCGGGGGTGGGGGGTGGGGATCTGGCCCTGTGGGAGGGAGGGAGGGGCCTCCAGTCTTGCCTTCTTCCAGTCCTTTTAGGAAGGATCCGCTGCAGGCTGCCCAGAGCATGGCATGCCGGAATACACTCCTCAGGCGGCCTGTGCTCAGGTGCCCCGTGAAGCAGGCACTTTCCCTCTGGCCCGCTGAGAAGCAGGTACTACCGGGCCATGGCCCTGCATCCTGCCCCGAGTGGCGGAGGTGCCAAAGCACAAGGGCTTCTTGGTGGGAGCCCTCACGAGCGCTGGCCTTGCTCTGCCGGAGGTCAACGATGGCAGCGTCCTTCCCCATTTCTCTCCCTCCCCCCCATTATCCCCCCAGGCGGCAGCAGCAGCGACGGCTTCAGGGAGTCTCGGCTGGAGCAGCCTGCACTTAAGCGACGGGGCTGGCTTCAGGCCGACCACCGCCTTTTAAACTTGCCACTGAAGCTGCAAGGGGAGGCGGCCCCTCTGTGCGGCCATCCCGGAGCGCTTCCCTCGCCTGTCTCGATGCTGGTTTCTCAGGGGACGGGTCTGTGCCTTCGGGGCTCGGGCAGGGGTGGCCACGTGCGAGTCTGCCTAGCCGCAGCGGGCAAGTCTTGGCCTCCTGCAGCAGCCCCCCCCCCCCCCCTTTATGTCCCTGCGTAGACGTGGTTGGCCGAAAGCGGGGTTGGCCCGGGGGGGGGGGGGGGCCCGCAGGGCCTTCTTGCACTGAACACTGTGATTTGTCTGGCGTTGAAGTTCCAGGTGCCCTTTTCAGACGGGTTTTATTTCTGTAGACATGTTTGTATATTTGAAGAGATGTGGAGGATGAGCCCCTTGTTCTATTAAATGATTCCTGTGGGCCAGAAAGGCCAGCTTGGTGTTGGAGCCGCCTGAGTCTGTGGGGAGAGGGGGAGGCCGGGTAAGAATGGGGTGTTGGGTCCTGGTGCCCACCTTCTCGCTCTGGGGGCGGGGTGGAGGAGGAGGAGGAGGCTGACGCTCCTGGAGGCCAACCGAAGGCCTTGCCTGCCTGCCTGCCTGCCTGCGGGCAGCTCTAGCCCACCTGGCTCCATTGCCTGAGTTCTCCGTGACCATTCCTGGGCGTGCTGTCGACCATCCTCTAGGCCCTGCCCACACGGCCTCGGGGACAGGACCAGAGATTTGTGCTTCCGGCACGAGGGCCTAAGATAAGAAGAACTCTGCTGGGTCAGACCTGCGCTGTATCTGCTGCAGCGTCCTGCTTCACAGCAGTTATTTATTTATTTATTTTTCGCATTTATACCCCGACCTCCCCAATGGGCTCAGGGCGGCTAACAAGGGCCAGGTAAACCATGCCATAATTAAAACATAATATACATAGTAGATTAAAACATAATAATACAATTTAAAAACATCCAATACTTAAAAACAACGGTGCTCAGACTTCTGATGTTATAGATCCAAAGATGGCATCAGTGCAGTTATGCTGGAAGGCTGACCGACAGAGCGCAGGGGCCAAGTCCCTCCTCTGATGCTGCCCACCCAACCTGCGGGGCTTCAGAGGCCTCTGAGTGTGGAGGGTCCCCTTTACAAACCATGCCGAGCAGCCATGGATGGACCCCAAACCCCCCTTTTTAAAGCCACGGTTCAACTCCTCCTTGAGTAAATAAACATGTCTTTTTTGTCTGCATCGGTTTCCCGTCAGCTGCACTGAGCGCCCTTCCTCACTCCTCCACTGCAAGAACTGTCCATTTACGCCCACACTCTGCTTTCCTGTGATATAACCGATTTTCAATCCATGTGGGGACCTGTCCCCTCATCCCAACTGCCGAGTTGACTTGGGACTCTTTGCTGCGGTACCTTGTTGAAAGCCTGGGATGACTTTTGGAAAGAAGCACATGTTGGTCTTGAGTGGAAGTTTCCTGACAAAGGGAGGTTTGACGGGATTGACATCTAGCTCAAGCGCATCGTGTCTACCAGATCGCCCTTCTCCGCGTGCTTCTTCACCTGCCCAAAGAACTCTGCAAGAGGGGGTGGGGGTGAGGGAGGATTTCCACGGGGAGAAGCCAGGCTGAGTCTCCCCAGCTTGCGTTTGTTTGGCGTGGCCGTGCCACATGCTTCTCCTCCACTGCTGCTTGGCCATGGACTGGCTGAGTGACGGCTGTCCTGGGAGTCAATCGGGCCCCGTGAGAATTAGCTGCAAGAACACCGTGAATATATCACATATGTTATGAGTCCAACTAAAGCCTTATACGCTGTGTTCGTTGATTTGGCCACAGCCTTTGATTCAGTTGATAGAAACCGACCCTGGGACAAGCCGATGAAAACCAATATTGATAAAAGACGGTTGTTCCTTATTTGTGAGCTACATACAGAAGCATATGCAAAAATCAGAGTAGGTACCTCAGGCTCGATGACCAGCAAAATACCGACTTGCAAAGGAGTTGAGCAGGGCTGTGTGTTAGAGAAGAAGAAGAAGAAGAAGAAGAGATTGGATTTATACCCCACCCTTCACTACTCAAATGAGTCTCAGAGCGGCTTACAAACTCCTTTTCCCTTCCCCTCCCCACAACAGACACCCTGTGAGGTCGGTGGGGCTGAGAGAGCTCTGACAGAAACTGCTCTTTTTTCAAGAACAGCTCTTATCAGAACTACGGCTTGCCCAAGGTCATCTAGCCAGGTGCAAGTGGAGGAGTGGGGAATCAAACACGGTTCTCCCAGATTAGAGTCCGTGCACTTAACTACTACACCAAACAGTGTTAGCCCCTGTACTTTTTAACTTATATATAAATGATATTGTAGCAAGACTAACTGGCTCAAAATTTGTTCCACTGACATTAGGTCAACAA